TAAAAATACAAACTAAGTTAAAATGTAATGCTGCATTGCTGCTCCAAGTGGATATTCCAATTCGGTCCATCACATGMTTGTCTTTTATAACCGACGGTTTCTTCGTATTCTATAGTGCATCATGCATGTAYCATCACAAGGACTTTAACGTCGTACAAGTGTTCAAATTATTCAATAAGTTTAGCCGCGTGGCCCAATGGATAAAGCATCTGATTACGAATCAGGGGATTCCAGGTTGGAGTCCTGGCGTGGTCGTTAAACAATTTTGTTCTAAAAAAAACAAATCCAGCTTTAATTGCCCTTTATTGTGTGCAGGCTTTGAAGATGTGTATTATTCTTGGTGTGCAAGTTACGTCATCACCGCCATGTTGGATGAAAATCACAAAGCATTCCTCATTAGTTTCTCTTGTTCATTCATCCAACATGGCGGCGATAGCCTTGTTCTTTATTTCTCAGGGGATTCCTGGTGGTGTGTTTGCACACCAAGAATACTGTATACCTTTCAAGTCGTGATGACCCTATGCAGAATAAAAACCACAGAAAAAGATGTCACTTTTGAACACACTTTCCTCATTTTGTWTTCTTTGTTCTTATCTTGTAACATCTGAACAGTTGTATAGTCAACTATTAAACACCCAAAATTATCTTCTGAGTTGCAATCGGGAATTGAATAGTGTCCATTGAACTGACTAGCTCCGTCGGTAGTAGATCATGAGACCTTATAATCCTTATAATCCCGGGATCGTGTGTTCGAGCCCCACATTAGGAGCGGTCACATTGTTTTGTTGTTATGACAGGACACACATTCAGGCCTATTCCAATAAGAGAACTTCGTTTTACTTTTTTTGGATTCTCTCTCTCCCTTATTTGGAATCTGTTGAAATCTTGATGAAAGAGTGTGAATGGTACACATATCAACAAAAATCGAAATCAAGTTCAAAAATTAAGCGACCTCGCCTGGGGACTCGAACCTGGAATCCCCTGATCCGAAGTTAGATGCCTTATCCATTAGGCCACGAGGCCAGTTCCATGCATGCTTTTAAATTGTTTCTTGCACCAGTTCCTGAGGTCGTATCGCATGGAGTGGCTAGAAATTGATATTCAAGTACC